AAGGGCTTCCGTTCAGTAAGTTCTTTCCTGTAAATTCTGTCTTAAATCTAGCTTTGAGCCATATATTTTTAAATCTTGTTCCACAGAGCTTACTTAGGAGGTCCTCAAACATTTTACTCTCACTTTTTATAATTCTTTTCAGTTTGTGAGATTGGTGGTTATCTGTGATTCCTAAAATTCATGTATTGAAAAAATATATGAGTATATTCTTGTGAATAATTGTGAATTGATTAATACACTTTATCAAGGAACTACTGGTATATGAGATGCAATTCTAGGAACTGAGGATCTAGCAATGAAGAAAGCAAATAAAAATCCAGTAAATAAGAAAATCATATAATATGTTAGAAGGTGATAAGTGCTGCCAACAAAAATAAAATGAGGCAGATGAAGAATGCTAGTGGGAGAAATGGCAATTTTAAGTTTGGAGGCCTCATTGAGCAGTTACCATTTGAAAAAAACTAGAAGGAAGTGAGGGGATAAGCCATATAGATAAATAAGGAATGAGTATTCTGGGCAAAGGGGACAGCCAGTGCAAAGGCCATGAGGTGGGTCAATGTATGTGTATTTGAAATACAGGAAGGGGATGGTCTGGCTACATTAGAATCAGTAAAGGGGAAAGTGAGATCAGGGAAGTAGGGGTGCAATATATAGATCATCATGTTCTTTGGCTTTTATTCTGAGAGAAATGGAAAGTATATATATGAATGCAAGTTGAGAAGTCTTTAAACATTAGAGATGTGTATTTTCAACACAGCATTCCTACTTCCTTATCTCATATCTCCCAGAGATTGCTGCCATTTTGGGTCACGTCTTTCCAGAGGTTCTTCTGTGGGATTGTATACATAGATTGGTACATATAAAATACACAGTTTGTTGTGTGACAGTGTGTGTGTGTGTCTGTCTCTGTGAATGTCTTTTAACTTTTATACACTCTGTTTTAATTAGAAATTTGCTTTTCACAATGAGTATGTCTTGAAGATGTTTCATTTTTCAAGACAGTACATATGTTTCTATTTTATTATTTTAAAGTATTTCATAATATTCCATTATATACACATGCTACATTTTATTTAACCTTATAGTAAATATTTAGGTTCTAACTTATTTTCTCCCTTCTTTCCTTCCTTCCTTCCAACCTCCTTTTCTTCCTCTTCCTTTTTTTCTATGTTGAATTACTGTTGTCTTAATATTATATTTAACAGCATAAAATTACATGTTACATGAAACATAAAACACAAGAGGAAATTTGAAAATTAAAGCATGTGTTACATTCTATTAGAAAAGCAATATATCTTTTCTAAATTGGAGTCACTTAGATTTGCCTCATTAGAAAAGAGGCTTAGGTTACTTCTTAAGAAAGGACTTACTTAATGTTTATTGTTCTGGAATAAATGGAAATCATGAGAGCTTGAGCCTAGTTATTCCGAGCTTTGCTAAGAGTTCACTTGGTCACCTTAGCCAAGTCAGTCATAGGTCTATAACAATAGGAAATCAGGAGCCTATATTCAAGATCTGCTTCTTCTACACTGGGCTCTCTCTTCTCCTACTACTTACAGCCTGAACCAATATGGCATCCAGCCAGCACTGCTGTTAGGTCACGTGTGTAAGTCTGGTCAGCCTTACCTTGATGTCAGCCCCTGGAGGATAGGATCCACGTCTTACCTCCCTTTTTTCCCTAGCAGACCCCTAAGCTGCTCCTTAGAATCATCGTTATTTATTTTATTTTATTTTTTTCGTTATTTATTTTAAATATATGATTAATTATCTTTAAACTTTTACTTGCCAGGCTAGCTTTACTTGGTCTGGAATAACCTTGAAATAAAAGTTCTGCCATCTCTATGTATATATCTGAACTTCTTTGAAGTGTGCCATTGATTAGGAAGTTCTTTTTTTTAAGATTTTATTTATTTATCTTTAGAGGGGAAGGGAAGGAGAGAGGAGAGAAATATCAATGTATGGTTGCCTCTCATGCATCCCCTGCTGGGAACTGGCCTGCAACCCAGGCATGTGCCCTGACTGGGAATCGAACCATGATCTTTCAGTTCTCAGGCCCGCATTCAATCCACTGAGCTATGCCAGCCAGGGCTTATTAGGAAGTTCTTAATGTTGTGCTGGTCTGGGTTTCCCCCCCGCACCCCAGGTCTTGCTTATAGAGACAACTGCACTTATGGCAGAATGCACACACGCTTTGGTCAGTTAAACAGCAGAGAGACACAGGTGCCTCTGCTTTGCCCATGCTTACACCACAAAATGGTCAGCTGTGCAGTCACTAGGAAAATTCTTATGAAGGATCACAGTAGTATCACATAAGTAGTTTCATCCTTATTGGTGTTTATAGTAAAGAGTGAGATGAGATGTGAGTCCCTGCTGGAACCTGGGGGTGTCAGTTAATGCTAGTTTCTTTCTTCCCCCCAAAAGAAATAATTAGCCTTATGAATTTAAGCTGTTTAAAAGGTAGAACACATTTAAAAGTTCATATACGGGGTGGGACAAAGGTAGGTTAACAGTTGTTCTTATGGAAAATAATACAATAATTAGTAAACAATACGAGAATAAACTCTGCATCTCATGCACTCACAACTGCACACTGGTTTTTGCCGTCCCCTGTATATTCACAAACATGGCAGCAGTTATTGCAATGCTTGTGCTAGATCTTGTTTCTAGCTGGGATGAAAAATAATTTCCCACACATTTCAAAGATTTCTTGTATTCTGTGATTAAAATGCAAATTTATTTAAGAGATTTTTGGGATTTAGGTACAATATTTTCTTTCTTGGGGTACTCAAAGTTAAACTACTGCCACAAGAAAGGAGGGATTCCCCCAAATTAAAAAGTGACCCTCACATTTAAAAAAAACCTGGAGTTATTTCTTAATGATTACAGAGTTTCTGTTTGGAGCGATGAAATGTTTTGGAAGTAGGGTGATGATGTTTACATTACATTGTGAATGTGAGTACTGCCACCGAGTCCAACACCTAAAATGGTTAAAATGGCAAATTTGACATTATAAAGTTTACTACTTATAAAAATAATAATAAATAAACAATAAAAATAATAAAAATAAATAGATGGAATTTCTTAGCAATTCAAGATTTTTTAAACTTTTATTTCATTTCAATAAATATTTATTGAATGCCTCATTGTGCACAATAGAGGGATGATTCAGGACAGTGACTTAAATATAAAGAGAACTTAGAGAATGGCCTGTTCAGTAATCAGTATTTCACATGTCTCATATCACCATGTCAACTTTATAAGGAAGGAACTACTATTATCACCATTTAATATTTATTTTATAGTTGAGAAGGTTTGGATTTAAAAAAACCCACTTATTAAGGCTGGTCAAAAGTGGGACAAGAAACACTTTATAAATGCCACTATTTCACTTGACACCATCATGCTTTCCGAATATGAAACATCTATTTAATAACTTCCTGTGTTAAAGGAAAGTATTGAGACTTCTAGTCAAGATGGAGGCATGAGTAGACATGCTTTGCCTCTTGGCATAACCGCAAGAAGAATTACAACTAACCTCAAAACAAAAAACACCCAGAACTGCCAGAAAATAGAACTGTATAGAAGTCTAACAACCAAGGATTTAAAGAAGTCATATTTATCCAGATGGGTAGGAGGGGTAGAGATGTGGCAATGGGTGGAGAGGCAGTGTGGCTCAGAGAGGTGGCGAGAGGTGATGGTGGCAGAGGTGAAACAAGCAGTCCCACACTCATGTGTGGTAGGTAAAAAATGGGAGGGGCTCCTTGGGAGTGAGCGATCCCAGTTCCAGGGTTCTGGCACAAGGAAGATCACGCCCCACAACTTCTGGCTATAAAAACTAATAGGGGTTGGGATGGTGGAAGAAACTGCTAATTTCTCAGAAGTGTCTGTTTGAAGGGACCATGTGAACTTAGAATGTAGGCAAATCCACCCACTCTGGGATTCACCACCAGGGAAATAATTGGAAGGACAATAATCATATACGGGAAGTGAATGGAAACAGGGTGAGTGCCAGGCAAACCTCCAGCAGCCAGGCAGTAGCAATGTCCCCTCTCTGACTCTTCCCTTCACACAGAGCCACAGAGCCTTGAAGTGGGTTGCCCCACCCTGGCAAATACTTAAGACTCTGCTCCATACAATTTAACAGGTATGCTAAGACAGGGAGTCAAAGCAGCTCTACCTAATACACAGAAACAAACACAGGGAGGCTGCCAAAACAAGGAGACAAAGAAATATGGGTCAAATGAAAGAACAGAACAAAACCCCAGAAAAAGAACTAAATGAAAGAGATAGACAACTTATTAGATGCAGAGTTCAATATACTGGTGATCAGGATGCTCAGAGAACTCAATGAGTACGGCAAAAACATAAGGGAAGGAGTGAATGTTACACTAAGTGAAACAAAGAAAAATCTACAGGGAACCAGGAAGCTGGGATTCAAATCAATGATTTGGAACAAAAGAAAGAAACAAACATTCAACCAGAACAGAAAGAATAAACAAGAATTTTTTAAAAAATGAAGAATGTGCCCTGGCTGGTGTAGCTCAGTGGATTGGGGGAAAAAGGTACAGAGAATAAGTAGCATAGATGGTAGGTAGAAAGTAGACAGGGGGAGGGCAAGAATAGTATGGGAAATGTAGAAGCTAAAGAACTTATGTCACATGGACATGAACTAAAGTGGGAGAATGTGGGTGGGAGGGGATGTGCAGGGTGGAGGGGGAATAAAAGGGGGAAATGGGACAACTGTAATAACATAATCAATAAAATATATTTTAAAAAAGAAGAGAACATTGAAAAGAATAGCATGTTCTAAATATAGCTTCTCTTTCATCTTCAAATCTGTCAGGACCTTTGTACTAAAACTTATGGCTGTCTTTGCTTGGATTGCTTTCACTTCCTTTCCAAATCTGTGTTATCTTCCTGCCTATAATGTTTTGCCAGAAGGCAGAGCCTATAAAATGAGACCCCCCTGGTTACGTCAGAGCTAGCCAAAGACAGGAAGTTTATACAGAGCAAAACTACTTGCTAGAATTGGTTTTGATCTTTCTTAAAGTTGTTGTTAGCTTCAGAGACGCTGTCCTCAGGACTCTATTGCACAAAAAGGAAGGGCTAAGAATACGTCTCTGACATGTGAACTTCGTTCTGTTTCCCATCTTGCCAGGAACGTTGGAAACAGACCCCAGGCAGACCAGTCGTCAGTTTGAATCACGGTGGTTGAGAAAGATGTGGGAATAATCAGCTAATGGAGAAAAAAGGGACTCCGGGAGATCTGAAATCTGCGTTTTGACCATGGACATTTCCTCAAGGCTGGTTTATTTTTGGAAATCCTGTTCTTCTGGTGTTGCAGGACCTACCCTGGGCAGATGAGTTTCCTTTCTGATTCCCTTTCCTCCTGAGAGCCAACAGAGGTCACTTCCTGAACTTTAAGGAACATGGATCTTGGTCGAAGTCTCTATAGGGAGACTTGCAAGTGCAGCACCGCCTCCTTGTCTGGTTAGGTTTGGGCTGCTTTTCTACCAGCATCACACACTGTAACTGAGGTGAGTTGTTTGCCTGTTTTTGTTTTTCCAAATGTTCATAATGAGCACAGAATCTTGATTCTTTTTTGGTATGTGCTTTAACAAATGTGCCTCTTAGAGCATTACTTCTCATTCTTATTAAAAAGCACACTCTTCAGAAGTCAGTGGGTCTGGGGTGGGCCTGAGATTCTGCATTTCTGACAAGGTCCCAGGTGACTTGAGGGCTGCTGGTCCAGGAGCAAGGACGTGAGCAAACAAGACCTTCAACCCCTGACGTGTTTTGCTCCTGGGGGTGAAGTGGGTTAAGGGAGGGCCACCAGAATGACGGAGTGTAGCTAAGCACATGCTTTACATAGGGTGCCTGAGGGGAAAAAAATCATACAGAATCCTGCCCTGGTTCTACCTTTTTCGATGGGGTATCTCTAAGTGTGGAAGTTTCTGTTAAACAGTTCCTGGGTGTGTTAAACCAAGTCACCCCAAGGAGAGAAGATGTCAGGCAGCTCCTTAGGTGCCATGGGCCACTTTGAGCAAAGCCCGAAGTCTTTCTGTGATTTTTATAATCTGGGGATTAGGTGTTTATAGCCTGCCTCACACTGGTGTCATCAGTGATCACATTGGGCATTTCAGCTGCAGTTAAAAATTATATATGCTGAGAAAATAACTCATATCTTCCTCCTACTATTTGGAAGTGATATGAATCTATTACATTGTTTAAAATTAATTTGAGTAAGGGATATATGTTTTATCTTCTTGTGAGAGGCCTATGTTCTTCTTTAAACCAAGTAGCTTCCTGTTCTAAATAACATATTTTAATCTCAAAGTAGCTTTTAATCCAAAGACAAACGAAGAAGAAAATATATTTAGATAGATAGGAAAAGGTACCTATTCTGTCCCTAGCTGAGGGGAGAGAATAAAAATGGGAGAAAGAAGGGGAAAAGAATGTTGGCTGGGAAAGTCATGGCTTTGTAAAATGAATGAAAAAAACTCGGCCAGAAGTAGAATTCTTTCCTGCACATGCATGGGACTTGTACACTAGCAGCTTGTGTTTGCTCAGCTGGAGACAGAGCTGGAGACAGAGCAGGTAAATGATCAATTTTGTTACCTTAATAAACATGCTGAAACGATTTGTAATTAAGTCAAGGATTATGCAATGGAATGAAAGGTCAGAGGTGTGGGTAGACCCCTAGAGGCTGGTATGAACCTGTGAAACCATCCCAGACAGAGGGGAATCACTTTTGTTTGAAATAAGCTTCCAATGACATTCCTTTATGTCACAGCAGATAATGAGGAGTGTTAGTAAAAAATTTAACAACCTGTGTGGCACAAGCATTGACCAATCAGAATAGAAGCTATTGTAAATAACCCACACCATGCCCTGGCTGGCTTAGCTCAGTGGATTGAGCGTGGGCCTGCGAACCAGAATATCGCAGTTCGATTCCCAGTCAGGGCACATACCTGGGTTGCAGGCCAGTTCCCAGCAGGGGACGCATGAGAGGCAACCATACATTGATATTTCTCTCCCACTCTTTCTCCTTCCCTTCCCCTCTCAAAAAATAAATAAAAATAAAAAAATATTTAAAAAAATAACCCACACCATAGCAAACCTCTGGTAGGCAGTAAGAACATACAGGGCTGAATATTAGCCTAAGATTTTAATTAAACCTTTTTTTTTTGTGGGGAGAAATTGTAAAGCTTCAGATGAGTTCAGAGACATATATAGTAAATTCTCACATAACATTGTTGATGAGTCCCGGGACTTCCGCCAAGATGGAGAAGTAGATGGAGGATCCACCTCACCTCTGTGTACAACCAAATCTAAGAACAACTATTTTTAACAGCAGTCACAACCAAGCCACACGGAAAATCGACAATACGGAGTCCAAAGGACAACTAGATACTCGGCTGGACCGGTACGAGGAGCGAGGCCAGCAGCGGAGCAGGTTAGCAAGAAAAAATTCCCGGGGCGGTGCGCGGTGCGCGCAGGCAACTGGGGGCGCTGATTGCCAGCGAGCTGGCTTCCGGAGTGCACAGGGAAGAGGCGCGGTGGGTGGGTCGGGCACGCGCATTTACGTGCGGAGAAACTAGTGAGAAGGGAAACCCGCGCGGTGCAGCAGGCTCGCACAATTAGGATCGTATAAGCAAGCCCGAGGCGTGTGAGTGACTGGATGCGCTGGGCTAGCGGAGAGGAACGCCATCGCTCCCTCTCTGACCCCGCCCCCACACACAGCGTCACAAACCAGCGACCTGGGTTGCCCCGTCCTGGTAAACAACTAAGGCTTCGCTCCGCACGAATAGACCAAAAATGGCTCTAGGACAACTCAGAGCCCCAGAACCGATAGACCTAAGTGATGAAGAAATAGCCAGTCTTTCAGATGCACAGTTCAAAACACTGGTTATAAGGATCCTTACAGAACTGGTTGATTTCAGTCACAAATTAGAGAAACATATGGAAGCTAAATTAATTGAAATGAATGCTGATACAAAAGATACCAATAGTAATGAAAAGGAAAGAAAATTGGGACTCAAATCAAGGGAGAGGACCAGAAGGAAGAAAAAAATGATCAAACAGAAAGGAATGAAGAAATAAGAATTCAGAAAAATGAGGAGAAGCTTAGGAACCTCCAGGACATCTTTAAATGTTCCAACATCCGAATTATAGGGATACCAGAAGGGGGAAAGGCACAACCACCAGTTGAAAAATTATTTGAACAAATAATAAAGGAGAATTTCCCCAAGATGGCAAAGGAAGTAGACTTCCGAGAAATCCAGGAAGCTCAGAGAGTCCCAAAGAAGCTGGACTCAAGAAGGAACACACCAAGGCACATCATAATTACATTAGCCAAGATTAAAATGAAGGAGAGAATCCTAGAAGCAGCAAGAGCTAAGGGGACAGTCACCTACAAAGGAGTTCCCATCAAACTGTCAGCTGATTTCTCAAAAGAGACCTTACAGGCAAGAAGGGGCTGGAAAGAGGTATTCCAAGTCATGAAAACCAAAGATCTACAACCAAGATTGCTCTACCCAGCAAAACTTTCATTTAGAATGGAAGGACAGATAAAGTGCTTCTCAGATAAGACCAAATTCAAGGAGTACATCATCACCAAGCCCTTATTATATGAAATGTTAAAGGGACTTACCTAAGAAAAAGAAGATAAAAAAGATGAACAGTGAAAGGACAGCAAACTCACAGTTATTAAGAACCACACCTAAAACAAAAGCAAACTAAGAGGATAGCTAGATCAGGAGCAGAACCATAGAAATGAAGATCTCATGGAGGGTTAGCAACAGGGGAGTGGGAGGAGGGGAAGGGGGGAGAAGGTTCAGAAAATAAGTAGCATAGACAGTAGATAGAAAATAGATAGGGGGGAGGGTAAGAATAGTAGGGGAAATACAGAATCTAAAGAATTTGAGACACATGTTCATGAACTAAAGGGGGAAATGGTGGGGGAGGGGTATGCAGGGTGGAGGGGAAGGGAGGGGGGAATAGAGCAAATGTAATGGCATAATCAATAAAAAAAAAGAATAGAAAAAAAAACATTGTTGATGAGTCCCATGACTTTAAGCAAAATGATGTATAATGAAACAATTTTATCATTAGTTCATTGATACAATAAACAAGAGTTAAGTTCCTATGGCATCTCATCAATGTTGTAACGGAATGACTTTGAACAAAATGACATTATTCATTATTGGAGGGCCTGGCCAATGGTGGCCTCACTCAGTTAGGTGAGGCCGTTCCCTCTCTTTCCAAGCCCAGAGCAAACCTTGATTCCCGCTGCAGATCTTCTTCAAACTGCACTATAGAAAGTACAGTTCTCTTAAGTCACTGTAAGATTCAATATTCTGTTTCTTGAATAGGATTAGGGAAAATGCATATATTCTTTTGTAAAGAGCTATAGCAGAAAGTGAAATTGGTCACAATGCTCTCCTTCCATATAAAGCATTATCCCAATTGATTTTTCACACCATCTTGGGGTACAAGTCATGCAGGTTATTATTGTAACCTTTCAGTGAAGAAACTGAGAGTCTGGTTAAACAATTTGCTAAAAGGCACATGTGTGACTGGATAGTGGGTGTACCCAATTTAATCTTAGGCTTGTTTCTCACAGGTCAGGTTAATCCTGTCCTTTTCTTCAGTGTCTTCACAAGACCTCTAACAATCTATGTTTTTTTTCCTACTAGGGTTTGTCTTCTTTTTATGTCATAATTTCAAACCTTTGTACGATAAAAAGGACCCTTTTTCTATTTCTTCTGTCAAAACTATTCATGTGTCATCTTAACTTTACCAACATTTAGGCCTTTAGTCCCCAGAAATAAAAGTTTAAAGGCAGGTATTATGCTTAAAAATCTCCTGGAGAGCTTGCTGAAATTCAGATTCTGGGCCCCAGTGCCAGAGGTTCTGGGTCAGTAGGCTGGGTCTCAGGTCTGAGTATTCAAATTTCCAGTAAGCATTCAGATGATCTTAGTGCTACCATTCAGAGACCATGCTTTATAGGCACGGGATCAGTCAATTATTCAAAATAGCATCCTTAGAGTTTAGTGAGGGGACTTGGTGTGCTTAACTACAGATTACGGACCTAGACATCCTGGGTTTGAATATTGATGCCATCAGACATGCAAGCTGTGCAATCCTGGGGAAATTAATCCATCTGCGTCTCAGTTGCCTAGTCTGTAAAATGGGTTCAATAATGCTACCTACATCACAAGGTAGTTGTGATGATTAAATGGCTTATTACTTAGTCTTATTATTACTAAGTCTTGCTCAATTCATAATTGTACTTTGCAATAGAAATACCAACACTAACAATTCACACAGATGCCAAATGCTCTTCTTTGATGTAGATGTTACCCCAGAGTTTAATCATGAGATAAACATGTTGTTTTATAAAAAATTTTTTTAATTTATTTTTAGAGAAAGGAGAAGAGAGAGAAAGAGAGAAATATGGACTAGCTGCCTCTTGTATACCCCCAATCAGGGCTTGGCCCACAACCTACACATACACTGACCAGGAATTGAACCGGTGACCTTTTAGCTCTCAGGTTGGCACTCAACCCACTGAGCCACACAAAACAGGGCAGATAAACATGTTTTTATGTGTGTGTGTGAGTGGGTGTTCTGGGCTCTCACCTAGCACTTCCCACCAAAAGGAGAGAGAGTAAATGATGCTGAGACTTTGACAAATGCAATCACATAGGGCCTTACATACTCTTCTATAAGCTTGGATTTGGCTCTGACAAGGATGAGTGATTAACATAGTTTGAAACTGAGGAGTGCAATCAAAATGGCATTTTATCATCTATCTATCTATCTATCTATCTATCTATCTATTTAATCTTCACCTAAGGATATGCTCATTTTTTTAAAAGATTTTATTTATTTACTTTTAAACAGAGGGGAAGGGAGGGAGAAAGAGAGGGAGAGAAACATCAATGGGTGGTTGCCTCTTGTGCACCCTCTACTAGAGACCTGACCTGGCCCACAACCCAGGCATGTGCCCTGACTGGGAATCAAACCAGTGACCCATTGGTTTGCAGGCCAGTGTTCAATCCACTGAGCCATACCAGCCAGGGCTTATGCTTATTGATTTTAGAAAGAGGGGAAGGGAGAGAAGAAGAGAAACATGGATGTGAGGCAACATCAGTTGCCTCATCTGTGCTGGGGCCTGGGACCAACCCAGGCAGTCATGTGCCCCAAATTGGAATTGCACACATGACTTTTCTGTCCGTGGGATGATGCTTCAATCAGTTAAGGCATGCTGGCCAGGGAAGGGTTGCATTTCAGAAATGTTTCTTGCTATAGTATGAAGGCTAATTTGGAAGAACATGAGGCTCAAGGCTGAGACCTGTTTGAATAGACTATTGCAGTCATCCTGGAGAGAATTAACAAAGCCTGAACTAAGGCAATAGGGTAAACCACAGAACAGGGATCCCGTGGTCCAGCTGATGGAATGGAACATATGCCATGACTCAAAAAGGAGATAGCATACTGTATTAAAACTCCCTAGTTTATGCCCATTCTTTATATCAAAGCTCCATGAGGCTGAGGACTGTGCCTTACTCCTATGTAGTCCAAACCCTTAGCTCCTAATAGGTCCTTGGTGGATGTTTGTGAGTGAATGGGTGAGGGAGAATAAATTAAATCTCCCATCTCATATACCTCCTCTCTTGTCTTTGTTCTTATCACACTGACCTTCCTTCAGGCCTTTGAAAATGCCCATATGTGACCTCCAGTCCAGAGGGCATCAAACTCCTGCCTTTGGGGAAAATTCAGGCCACCACCTAGTTTTTACAGATGATTTTATTGGCATAAAGCCATACCCATCCAATTATGTATTGTCTCAGTCTACTCTAGGGCTGCAGCAGCAGAGTAGAGTAATTGTGACAGACACCACATGGCCTGTGAAGCCCAAAATATTTACTCTCTGGTTCCTTACAGAAGAAGTTTGCTGATTCCAGCTCTAGTTGTTGGAAATTGCTGATTTCAAACATCACCCTCAACAAAGCTATAGTAATCAAAACTGTGGTACCGATACAAAGAAAGACATATAGGCTAATGGAATAGAATAGAGAGTCCATAAATAAACCCTCATATATATGATAGAATTATTTTTGTCAAGGTTGCCAGACCAATCAATGGGGAAAAGATAGTCTTTTCAGCAAATGGTGCTGGGAAAACTGGATAGCCAAATGCAAAAGAATGACGTTAAATCCTTATTTTGTACCATATACAAAAAGTAAGTAAAAAGGGGCAAAAGTCATAAATGTAAGAGCCAGAGTATAAAACTCTTAGATAAAAACATAGGGGGAAAGCTTCATAACATTGAATTTGGCAGTGATTTTTTTGGATATGACACTAAAAACACAGGTGACAAAAGAAAAAGTAAATAAATTGGACTTAATCAAAATTAAAAGCTTATGTGTCAAAGAACATTATTAAGAG